TTGCGCAACCAATTTTCCAGTTTGTTGAGAAGAAATGCAACAAAAAGTGGCCAGAAAGCATTTTCATCACCAGTGAACATTCGATGAATATACCATTGATTGGAAAATGTACCATCAACCTTTTCAGACTATTGTGGAGGACATGCTATGTGGTTTTGACAACAGTTGTAGCAATGATATTCCCCTTCTTCAATGCAATCTTGGGTTTGCTCGGGGCACTCGCGTTCTGGCCACTCACAGTTTATTTTCCGGTGGCAATGCACATTGAGCAGGCAAAGGTTAAGAAGTATTCTCTTCGATGGATAGGGTTGAAACTCCTTGTATCGCTTTGTTTGATTGTTTCACTCCTAGCCACAATAGGATCCATTGTCGGCTTGATAACTAGTGTCAAGGCATACAAGCCTTTCAACAATTAATATTAGTATATATACTGTACTTGTGATCTATATGAGTTTTGTGAGAACTGAGTATTAATTACTTCTATCAAGAGAAATAGTTAATACGTAATAAAGTATTGTATATAGTGTTCTCCAAAGTTTAAACCTTACAGTACTATTACGGCATTACTATCAAACATTCGAAGTTTACAGTAGTGTGAGGAACAAGGTTTCGATACTAATTAAACATGTTGCTGATATATTGTAATATTTAGTTGCTACAGCATATAGATTTAAATTAGTTCTTCCTATAATGGTATTAATGATTAATTTTCCGATTAATGAAGTTCATGGGCATGTGAGGAAAAGATAAATGAGCATGATAGAAGAGAGGATATAGCTAGGCAAGAGGCCAAGATATGAAAGTAAAGATCTCTCTGTTTTAGTCATCTAATTTTAATCAGTTACCTAATTTCGATTATTCGTATACTGTCATAAATGTAGGTAATTCTCTTTTAAACCTACGGATCAATTTTTTTGTTTGAATAGACTACAGCTACTAAAGGTTTCCAAAATAAGCAATAGTGGTTACACATTCAAAATCAAAAGAAATAAATCCCCATAATATAAGATTCTCTGAATAAATAAGATTCAACGAACAAAGATGCTCTTTCCATATAAACATCAATATTTGTGTACATATATATATATATATATATATATATATGTAAGTGCGTGCATGTGGGGAGGACTCTAAGACGACCTCTGTCATTTAACTCTCTTCCTCTCTCTTCTCTCCTCTGGTTCAGTGGTTCCTCTCTCCACAATGATGGAAGCATACCACAATCCTTCGGCGGTGGAGTCGGGTGACGCCGCCGTTAAGAGCCTCGACGACGATGGTCGAGAGAAGAGAACGGGGACGTTTATGACGGCGAGTGCGCACATAATCACGGCGGTGATAGGCTCCGGGGTGCTGTCGTTGGCTTGGGCTTTAGCACAGCTTGGTTGGGTGGCAGGAACCATAATTTTGGTCGCTTTCGCCATCATTACTTACTACACCTCCACCATGCTCGCCGACTGTTACCGTTCGCCGGACCCCATCAACGGAACACGCAACTATAATTACATGGGCGTCGTCCGAACTTACCTTGGTATGGGTTCATATTTAAAAAAAAAAAAAATCATTTCGTGTCTTTATCAGCATTATTTTTCACAGATTTTTCAGTTTTAGAGACATTATTTCTCTGATGAACAAAGATTTTGTTCATATGATATCATTTAGATTTTGCCTAACTAGTCTTAATTAAGGACGTGTTCAATTTGATTCTCTTCCATTTCTGTCATAAGGATGATGGCAAGCAGAAGAAAAAAATCTGATCTAATTAAAAGAATATTTAATGCTAAGTTGAAATTTGTAAATCTACAGTAATTGACTCATTTCAACAATTTTTTACCATGCAAATTTGCCGAAGAAGTACATTAATGTTGTTGTTGAACAAAAAAAAAACATTATTAATTGTTGTTAGAAAAAAATTGATTTAAGATTTTGTGTGCATGCTCTTCTTGGGAAGATATGAATTATTATCAAAATCTACAAAAAGGAAGAAGAAGTATGAAAATTTTCATTCTTTCCTAAATTAGTTAATAAATTGAAATGACTATGTGTAGGATTGGTGACATAGTCAATTCAATTTTTATCCCGTTAAAGAATGTTATCAATAAATTCGATTGTTGACCCCCCAAGAAAATTTGAATTGAAATGCGGGATCGTAAGACCAAAATATTATTTGATAGTACTATAGAGTAATTATTTTTATTGTTTGATAACATAAAACGACAGGGGGTAAAAAGGTTCAGCTATGTGGACTGGCACAGTACGTGAATCTAGTAGGGGTCACTATTGGTTACACCATCACTGCCTCCATAAGCTTAGTGTAAGTCACAGATTCTGATTTATTTCGATTATTTTGTGATGGTGTTTGATTGGTGTTTTTGTGTTCGTTAGAGCGATTGGGAAATCAAATTGTTATCATGACAAGGGACATAAAGCGAAATGTTCTGTATCGAATTATCCGTACATGGCGGCATTTGGGATCGTCCAGATTATTCTGAGCCAGCTTCCTAATTTTCACAAGCTCTCTTTCCTCTCCATCATCGCCGCGGTTATGTCCTTCTCTTATGCGTCTATTGGAATAGGCCTAGCCATCGCCACTGTAGCAAGTACATTTCCCTTCTTTATCATCTTAAAAACATTTCTTTCAACATATATGTAGTTTCAAACTATATGTAAGTGTAAATGCAATCGTCGAACACAGAAATTAGTGTTTGAAACAATTAACGGTTTATATGCATAATTCTTTGAAGTTGACACTAACCGTGAAAATGGTATAATATGAAAGGTGGGAAGATTGGTAAGACAGAATTGACAGGCACAGTGATAGGTGTGGACGTAACTGCGTCTGAAAAAGTTTGGAAATTGTTTCAAGCGATTGGAGACATTGCCTTTTCATATGCTTTTACCACTATTCTCATCGAGATTCAGGCATGTACAGATTCCTACTATCTTCCGTTTAGTATTGTTTTCATTTGCATTTAAATTCTGGTTAAGAGTATGGATTTAATGATGGATGACTGATAATTAGTATAACCATGTACTTTCTTATAGACCACTTCTATTATCACTTTCTTCAAAGAGAGGTAAAATAAGATCTTATTATTCATTTGACATGTAGGAAAAAATATAGATGGATAGATGATGGATAGAAAAAGTTTCATTTTAGATTTCTGAAGCTCTAAAGATAGTGACGCTCTAGTATGTCTTGTTTATTTTGCAGGACACATTGAGATCAAGCCCACCAGAGAACAAAGTGATGAAACGAGCGAGTCTTGCCGGGGTCTCAACCACAACTGTTTTCTACATCTTGTGTGGTTGCATCGGATATGCTGCATTCGGGAACCAAGCCCCTGGTGACTTCCTTACTGATTTTGGTTTTTACGAACCTTATTGGCTCGTCGACTTTGCCAATGCTTGCATTGCTCTCCATCTTATCGGTGCCTATCAGGTATTTAACTGACAAACAAAAGAAAAGGATACGTGTGTAACATACATTTACAATGTTCAAGTTCATTAAAAGTCTCATTATTGTATTAGTGTTTTTAGCTTTAATAATTCAGAAGATTGTAGAAATAGAGTTATTCTGGTCATAAAATACAATGGTTTGCTAATAGTTTCTAAAAATGCTCTGTTTTTTATAACCTGTATTATTCGCAGGTGTACGCGCAGCCGTTTTTCCAGTTTGTTGAGGAAAACTGCAACAAAAAATGGCCTCAAAGCAATTTCATCAACAAAGAATACTCGTCAGACATACCTTTGCTTGGAAAATGTCGTGTCAACCTCTTCAGACTGGTTTGGAGAACATGCTATGTGGTTTTGACAACATTTGTAGCAATGATATTCCCCTTCTTCAATGCGATCTTGGGTTTGCTTGGGGCACTCGCGTTCTGGCCACTCACAGTTTATTTTCCGGTGGCAATGCACATTGCGCAGGCAAAGGTCAAGAAGTATTCTCGTAGATGGTTGGCCTTGAACCTCCTCGTATTGGTTTGCTTGATCGTCTCAATCCTTGCCGCGGTAGGATCCATCATTGGCTTAATAAATAGTGTCAAGTCATACAAGCCCTTCAAGAATTTAGACTAGTGACTTGTGATCTTTATGAATTTTATTAGATTTCTTACAAGCTAAATATTTAGTATTTAGTGTTTCTACAAATAAGTTGTGATGTTCTGTTTTCGGCTATGTTAAAACCAAACTGCTAATTGATCTATATCGTCCTATGAAAATGGATAAAATAGTTTAAAACTTTTTCGAAGGACTACAAGTATTAGTCAACATTGGATTTGATGTTTTGAGCCCCATGAGATACTAGTACTACTACTATGAAGAAGATGTATTTCAGCTTTTGAAATTCGTATGGTTGTGTCAATTTCGAGTTATTATTATTTATTTTTCTTAATGGAATTGTCGGGGAAATCTTGAAAACAGACACACACAAATTGTGTCATTTATTTGGTTTGGTATGCCCCACATAAGTTGCTATCACATCTTGTGTATTGGAGGGGTTGGGCAATAGAGTATCAAGGCAAGTTTGGTCCTTCCTAACGTTTCTAGTTGTCTACTAGCTTTCTATTCACTCAAATACATTTATGTGCTTCTCCCTAATCTTTCTCTTCTATATTTACTCTGCATTTGCTTACAAAGTCATTGTCAAGGTTTTGTGGTCGTATGTCACTTGATGGCTACCATCATAACCGCCGTGTAACCAAACAATTGCCTTGCTGTTACCTAACTATATGACGTGTCTAGCCAAAAGATGCATCCGCTAATCCTGGTCAGTTTTCATTGCAGTTCTAGTTGATTGTTCAATAGAGGAATTGAGTTCGAACCCAAGCATTCATATTTCATGACTACAAACAAACTTGGATATAAAAACAGTCAAAACAGGTTTAAATGCTGTTGTAGAATACCTTTGCAATAGTGCATGTTTATCTATCTTCTCAACCACCAATACCAACTCAGTTTGTAACTAACTTAATTTCTAACCAACTAAAGTTTATTGTCTCAAGTCCCACAATCAACTAAAGTTTATTGTCTCAAGTCCCACAGTGGACATTGAACATCCAACACATAAAAGGAAAAAAAAGCAAACCAAGCAAATAATCTCATGTGTTTTTTTACATCCAGAGATTCTAAATTCGATTTTTCTAATTTATACACTTACATAATCAAATCAAAGGCAAAAGAAGAGTGACCAAGAAATTCACTCTTCAAATCACTCGTAGAACCCAAACCCAACAAAAAAGAAACCCAGTACGAGAAGCCAGCCACACAAAGTCCAAAATAGAAGCTCACTATGTACATCCTATTTTGATAGCGCCTTACAGGAAGTTTTTTTTCAAAAAAGAAAAAAACCTCCCAAGGCTATTTGTGACTCTAAATTTTCAGAAACAAAAAAAAACAAAAAAACAAAAAATTCTTATCTTTTCTTCAGCTCAGTGACTCATGGCAAAGCTCTTTCCTCATCCGTTGATTAAACAACCTGCAAGCATCCATACTTAGATCAATGGCTGCAGAAAGCGCCACGTAAGCAGCCGCATCTTCCATACAGCTAACGTGCTGCACACTCACCTCTACACAAGGTTTACTACATTTTCCTTCACCTTCCACACTTGCTGACATCACAAACCCTTTGTACACGTTCCACGGCCACAATCCGTAACCGTAATCGCCGCTCCCTCCTCTCGGACTATTCGCCGGCGATGCTCCTCCACCGCTTCCACTGCTCCCACCTCTGTGGCTTCTTGATCGGTTCACGCCACTTGTTGGCGACGATGAAGAAGACGACGATCCCAATTCTATTGAGAATTTCCCACCTCTGTGAGAACTTATGGTTGACTCCGCAAGCACGATTCCTGCACCGCTTGATCCATCTGGGATGAGTTCGAATCTGTAACCGAGACCATCAGTTGCTCCACCGCGTTCCCGCCATGCTTCTAGTCGCCCCCACGGTCTCCAGGTACAATCTCCAGGACGCAGGATGAGCCATGACCCAGGGTTTGACCGGCTCACACGATCGGTTCCAGGAGATGCAACGAACGGAGTGACGATTGAAGCCATGGCCACTGGAGAACCGGACAAGTCATGAACTGTTATGGACCATCCTTTTCGCTCTTTCCCAGGACGTTCTCTCTCACTCCCGAAAGAGTTTAGCCAGCTCCGTGGAACACTTGTCTCAGTCGGCAATGATCTGATCAATCAAAACACCATTTGATCAACTTTATTTTAAAATAATCATATTAATTCCCGTTATAGAATAAAAGTGGTTAAATATCATAAGAGTAAAGTTTATACTAAGAATAAAAGTGGTTCAATATCATAAGAGTAAAGGTTATACTATGAATGAATAAAAGTGGATAAATATCATAAGAGTAAAGTTTTTATCAATAGATCCGTACTAAAGCAAAAACTAAAACAAGGAATGTGATTTCAGTATTTCACAATAATCTTTGACGTTGGATCTAATTAAAGCGTATATTTCGATTTGATTCCTCGGGAAAAGAACATAATTAGAAATAAATTAAATAAATCGATATCCAAATTTCCGATAAATGTGGTGAAAATTGATTTGATTTGATTCGATTGGCCGGAAAACAAACCTTGATCTCTGAGTACGATCACCGGTGTGCCGGCAACTGAATTTGCATGTGAAAACTGGTTGCCGGATATTTCCTTGAATCTGAACGACTTGAGGACTACATTCAGGCTCGCCGTCGAACTGAAAAACGAATCTAGGATCAGGCTCCGTCTTCACATTCAGGTGAAACTGAGCCGACGACGACGATTTCCCAGCTCCTTTTCCGACTGATATCCATCCGTTGTGGAAGACGCACGGTTTAGATAGCGTACCAGATAGATCCAACGGTACGGAGACTTTCGCCAGAAGACGACCGGAGTGTACGCCGCAAGCAGCGCCGGCTCTTCCGGTGTAGATCAAAATCTTAAGACATGGCTTAGAAGTAAAAATAGATCTGGAAGCTAAGCGTTGAATATCGGAGCTGCTGAGATGAAACGTGGCGGCTAGGGTTTGGATCTCCGGAAACTGAGTCGTCTCCAGAGGAATGTACGGGATTGCGGCGGTTTGGGGCGGGAAGTTTTTGAGTTTGATTTTACAAAAACAAGGAGAAGACGACGGATGCACGACGGAGCTCGTAGTCTTCGCCGCTAAAGGAACTTTCAAAGCTAGATTCCCGATCGTAAGACGGATAAATGGACAAGGATCCATTTCAATCGCAACCAGAAAGACGAATCAATTAGGGTTTTTGACGGAGGAAGAGAAAGAGAAGGAAATGTGAAGTAAAGGGTTTAGGAAGAGTTCGACATTAATTGTAGGAACCGTTCTAGAGACGATGACTTAGAGAATTAGGCGAAGGAAAAGGAGGTGACGAAGATAAAACGCAGCGTTTTAATGGCGCCGTATTCACGACCTAACCATTAGAGGAAGCAGTCGTCTTCTTGGTCTATCTGTGTATGTCTCTGGTTTTTAAGTGGAGACAAACCAGGAAGCACAATTTACATTTTTTCCATTTTTGCATTCCCTCCTTCGTTTCCCTATATTTTCCACTATTGTCCAATACGCCTTTATTATTTCAGAACTTAAAGATTGGTACCAAACCTTTTTAATTTAGTACTCTTCAACCCCCTAATTCATTAATATAGCCGGTTAATTAATAGAGTAAATAATTTTTAGTTACATTCTATATGTGAATGTTGCAAAGAGTGACGCTTATTTTGGCAAATAAATAATCTTCTTTGGTTAACTTTGGAAAGTTAAAAAAAAAACTTTGGAAAACAAATTCATTTTGAGTTTTAGAATATGTAGGAATAAAAGGGTAAATCCGAAATATAGAGTTAGTTGAGGGGTAGAGAAAAAAAGACGATGGAGCACAGCTGGGAACAGGCTGGCAAAGAAGTGCCAGGTCGGAGAGAGGTTGACGTAATATTTTTATTTGGTTTCTCTCTCAACCTGATCAGTGACCAACCACACAAAAACATAGGGCTCCACTTCTTTTAATTTTACCAAATTACCCTTCTTGCTTACGTGTACATTCGAGGCTCTTACTAGTGCCTTGATCGGAGAATCTTTCCGCCTCTATGCGGAACTCACGTTTTTGTGTCAGTCTCATAGTTTTCTGGTTTTTCCTTCAAACATTTTATTCGGATTTTGAGTTTTTTTGTTAAATTTTATTTTATCTTTAGTTTCAATTGATAATTGCCGTAATTTCAAATGTATTTTTCTTGATGTGTAAATTTTGGAATGATAAACTCCCTAACTTTACACTATAGTAAAGTGTATGCTTGAATTGTCTTGGTCGTGGGTTATTATAGCTATCGGTCTAACTTTTTTACATTCACCTACAAACACAAATTTGATCAAAAAAGGAAACAAAAACTTTTTTGAGCCACAAAACTTTTCTATATATGTGTAGTAGTATGAAACTAGTAACGTGTTTTAAAGTTTCGAGGAACCGTCATTTAAAAATCAAATCAAATAGTCATATTTTCTTCTACTGCAAAGGTAAACTCCGCACTCTATTCTTTTAAAATGGTGTCCATCTTTTTTTAATAATCGTCATTTCGCTAAGAATGCAGCTTTTGTGTTATAGAATGCAAATTTTCTAAATTAAGAAAGGTCAACAAAATATAAAAAAAAAGTAGAATTTCTTTGGGGATTGGGCGAGAGATATGCGTGCACGTTTACGACAAATTAGATTGAATTTAAGTATTACTTGTTTAGATAAGCAGCTGAACGAGGATCGTGGATGATAGCTGTATTTTCTGTGCTTTTTTTTCATTTTAAATGACATTTATACAGGAGGAAGGAAATGCCTTGTCCTTGCCTGATCAACATATAACTATTTTTTAATATATATACTAGCAACTGTAGAAGTCCATCATAATGTTACATAAGCCCAATATAATTGAAAGCTCAATAGAGAAACCCACTTGAATCAGGCGGAGACTCCAACTCTTGTCGCCCCATCAAACAGTTTCCCCAGTGGTTTGAGTAATTTACGAAATTACCCTCCGTGGCTTACGTGTTCTGATCGGGGAATCTTTCCGCCGCACATGAGCTCACGTCTAATTTGTGCCAGACTGCCAGTCTCATACTCCAGTTTTCCTTAAAAAATATTGTTGGAGTTTTGAGAACAAAATTAAAGACGAAGATGAAGGCGTTAGGGTATTGGTTAATGTTGGTTGGTTCACTGAGACTAGCTTCTGTTTGGTTTGGTTTCTTCAACATTTGGGCTCTTCGTCTCGCTGTCTTCTCTCAGACCACCAGTTCAGTGTTCTTCTCCCCCTCCCTTTTGAATTGTTCTTAATATGATTCCGTGATTCGATAGGAGTGTTTTCATGTCTTTTTAGCTCCCAACGATTTAAATGGCTAATAGAATCTATAGATACTTCAGACTATTTTCTCCTATCAGTGAGTTAGTAGCAATGGAGAACACATGTTTCGTTATTTCAAGAAGAAATGATAATGTTAGGTTTCAGAGGAACCATTAGTGCGGTTTTCATTTTTTTGTGTGTGACTTGAGTCTTCCAATACGGATCAAATTTGGGATCCCTAAGCTTTGAGATCTAGAAAGATAATGAGGGATTAGAATATAGTTTTTTTTTCCCTCTGGAATTGATCTTGATTCTTGCTAGAATTGCATATGGAAAGTCAATGGCTTATGAATCACATAGTCAACTTGAGATTTTTTATCAAGGAAAGCCGGATTAGGATTCTTTGAACATATTCATGATGTTCTTTCTACTTGTTCCTTTATGTGTTCTTTTAATTGCCAAGTTGAGGTTGTTGGGATTGAAAGCAACACTCATGAATTAGTACACCATAAGTATAGCAAACTGAAGCAACATATCCAAGATAGATTTAGGCAATCTTAAATGTTGTACAGTTCCTTGGTGAAGTAATTTTGTAAGAAGTGGACCTCCATGTCCTAAAAATCAGGAAAGGGGAGGGTATTTGGATCTGGAATTTGGTTAGATTGATAAAAGTTTACATACTCCAATGCATAACCTTTTTTCGCGGGATCTTTGTAAAATTTTTTCTTAAAATACTGTTGAAGTAAATTAGTGATCAGGTGAAGTGTATAAGATCTTGCATTTGTATTTGTTTTAAAACATAAGCAACTTGATGTTTCTTTTTTCAATTCTGTAACTTGTGGTGCATGAATTTGCCGGCTTGCAGCGACGAGTGGAGTTTTATGGGACATTGTTTTTTTTTTTTTCTTTTCTTGTGATTGTAAGGTCTTGTACATGTTAAGTTTATCAGCTCTGATAACACAATGTAGTAATAAACTTTGCATCATATTAGCAACTCGAGAACCGGGAACAAAAAAGATCTATCTAGAAAAGACTAGTTCACATAGTTGATGTCTCTTACTTAGGTTTTCTCAGGCAATGGTCTTCTCGGTTCACAAGGGTCCTGTCCTCATTACTTGAAATGTTCTTTTTGTTAACTGTTTTGCAGTGAGTGAAGTTCATGGACGTACATTCGGAGTATGGACACTCTTGACCTGCACTCTCTGCTTTCTTTGTGCATTCAACCTCGAAAACAAACCATTATATTTGGCTACCTTCCTATCATTTATCTATGCCTTAGGCCATTTTCTGACTGAATACCTCTTTTACCAAACAATGACCATCGCAAATCTCTCAACTGTGGGCTTCTTTGCAGGTATAACTTGTGGCAATGGCCATCACTCATTCTTGTATTGAATCAGTTGATCTAGGTTGCATTCATCGCGTGAATGATCTATATACTGTGTTTTCTTTAACAGGCACATCGATTGTCTGGATGCTCTTGGAGTGGAATTCCCTTGAACAACCACACTCCAAATTTTATTGATATTAGTCCAGATCCCCTGTTACTAAGTCTTTCTGCCTTTTAAGCTTTTCTAAAAGTTGGAATCATCTGAGTTTTTTGCTCGATCCCTAAAGATGTTGATTCATTGTATCATCTAAGTCTTTTGACATCTTTGATGGAGTCTTGAACGTTAGACTTGGTAAGATTGAATTATGATTTTATGGTTTATTTAAGTGTTGTTTATTGCTTTTGAAACAGAGATTTGAGTTTGATGCATGTAGTAGATTATGATTATACAAAAGCCTCTTTTTGGCTAAAACAGGGGAACTATTTCTTGCATTCCGTTTATTATTTATTTTGTATCCAAAATAGTTCTATTTTCCTTCTTTTTTTCCGGTAACTGAAAAACTAACAAAACAGATAAACCTACTAATAGTATAGTAACATACATTACTAGATGACAGAATTTTGATAATATGACTGATATATTTCTCCTAGTGAATTTTGGACTTGTGAAGGAACTTGCCATCTTCCGATAATTATTCACACCTATGGCTCAAAATTGTCAATCATGTGTTGTATAACATCTGCTCCAGCTGAATTGATCATCTTTGTTTTCACCTGCAATGTTTTCCAAATTTCAGTGTGAATTTTAATAACAATAGCAATGGTGATGATGATGACGACAATGATGAACACTTGCCTGAATGGTATTGTGAGCGAGAAATCTTTGCAGGGTTCCTCTGAAACTAACATCAACTCGTTCCCAGCTCAGTTTTGTTAGTTCACTTATCATCTCCTCTGCACAAGTCTGTTGTATTATGAATATGATGATTAGAAATCAAGATAAGAAACCCGAGATTGAGTTTTCCACTGAACCAACCTTCCATATCGAAATTCTTGAACTCGTCTGAACTGGTCCTTGAACGATCTTCCTTATGGTTACTTGCAGTATCCGGTGCTTCAACGTTCACAATGTGAGGATACTTCTCGTTGACTGGACCACGTTGAAGCTGCGAAGGTTATATGTGAGACTGATTCAGCATAACACACAACAGTATTATATTAATCACTGAAAGTGAAAGGTTAACCTTAGGAAGCTCATTGTGACGCCGGATAGACGATGTACTCCACCCGACAAGGTCTAGGAACAAGGGAGGTCAAGGTTTCAAATGAATTGTAATAGCCACAACAGTTCTGAGTCTTTTTTAGCTTAATTCGCATTGTAAGATCAGTGAAGAAGTAGAGAAATAGTATAACGACGTCCAACAAAAAAAGGATACGGTCGAAACTTGTATTCGCGTAAGCAATACGCCGTTTGAAGCATTGCAAAGCAGAACTGTTCACAAAAGCAGAGGAGACATACTAATTAGTAACATTTGAAAACATTTGAACTATGCAAAGCCCCAATCTGCTATGTATAGGAAAAAAAAAAATCAGTGAAGGAACTCACATGAATTTAAGATCTTTAGAATCTTTAACCATTCGGAGGAGTAATGGAGGTTTTCCACCATCACTATCAGCCAGAAAAAGATGTTTTCCTGTTTTACCAAGACACCCCGACATACGCGTAGCTAATCTCTCCAAAGTGTAAGATCCAGAAAACAATGGGACCTAATGCAGTCAAAATGCCACAACATTAACCAAATTGTAACTTTTCATGTTGCAAAATTCCAAAAATTGTATCAAGCTTACAGGAGAATGAGACATAAACTCAAATCAAAGTCTACTTCATAGTAGATAATGATGCATAAGAATATTAAGGATCTCAACTTTGCTCTAACCATATTGACAAAAAATTCATATGTAAGAAAACCGTTCTCAAAATCACCTGTTTATGTCCTCTTGAACCAAGGTGTGGCGTTGCAGAAGTTATAAAATACATGGGCTCCAATCCGGCGATTCTCTCTTTCGGTTCCTCTATCGGGCATGTATCACCAATGTCGTCACTGTTACGTAGAAGCTCTTCTCGGGTTTTCTTCTCATAAAGACGCCCAATAGCATACCTAGCAATCAAGCCACCTAAAGAATGTCCTACAAAGGAAATCTTCTGGAGACTTGGGTGACGTTTGATCACCGACCTAACCTAAACAAAAGAGAGACAAAAAAATCTTACTTCAGCTGAAAAAATCAAGCAGAGACAAATATAGCAACTTCTACATAAAAGGATCTAGCATTGCGAAAACATGTAGCCAAGAGGAAGACAGTATAACATGAGACTGAAACAACACTGAAATAAAAGCAGCCATGAGAAAGAAACACAAACCTCTTCAGCTAATCTTTCTCCCATAACATCAACACCATCAAATGTCTGTGTTGAATGGTTGCGTTTACTGCCTGCAACATGATTATTAAGTATCACTAGCCATTCTCTGAATATTATTATAACCAACGTGGTAACAAGATGTAGAACTGGATCTTCATGATACGAAAATCAGTAAAGTGATCAAAAATTCAAAAGTGTGATTCTTTCTTCCTTGCAATAATAAATCTGTTTCACTTGAGACTTCCACAGAGATTCACAATAGACCATTACGAGAAAACTTATAGAGAAAGAAGAACTCACAGTGAACTACGAGATCCTGAGGATACTTCTTTAGCATCTGCTTAGCGGCGAATCTCCAATTCTGAGCACTGCACCCACAAAAATTTTAAAATCAGCTTAAGATAGAACAAAATCAAGCACATAATAACAAAGGAAACTCTAAGAACCTGCCGATGAGACCGTTGACCATGACGACTAGGTGAGTTGGCTCAGTGCGTTCGCCAGGAAAATCAACAGTCAAATCGACGTTTCCACTCTCGTCAGATTCAGCTCTGAGACAACCCATCCAATACTTTTTCTTCTTCTTCGTCTCTTTATCATCACTCTTCCCGCTTCTCATCGTCTTCATTATCTTCATCTTCTTTTTTGACCCACCGAATCCTTCAAGATCACTTCCAACACGCCCATCTTGTTCTGTGTTTCTTGTTATCACGCTATCTTCTTCCTCCATGATCACGAAACGAAAAAGGGAAACTTTAAGCAGGGTTTAATTCATAGTCGCCACTTTGGGAAGAAGATTAGACTTGAAACATCAAAAGTTCAAATGGTCAGAGAGAAACAGAGAATAGTTTCAGTCGTTAGGGAAGGTCCCCACCGCAGTATTGTTGTCGTCGTTGAAACGCCATTGACATTTTCTTTCTTACACATCTGAGATTTGGCCACTCTTGCTTTTTCTAGAACCCACACATGTTATAACATGTTTTTTTGAGTCATTAACTTGAATAAATGAGCCAAATAGTATGTGATTTAGCATAAGTTAAAAAGCATATTCAGACATTATGATGATAATTTTAACTGATTACTTTTATATAATAGTAGTAACTTTAAAAGACAAGCCCGGCCCATTTAATTTCAAGTATTGGATCCGAGTTTTCTTTTGTTTCTTCTGGAAGAGTCAAACAACAACTTTGACTTTTGTATCAGCAACCAAAACGTCGAAAGCAAGACAAGAATCAATAAAAAAAACGATAATAATCCGATGAGATTTTTGGACCTTTCTTCTCCGAAGTGTCGCTGATTGATGTCTGTTGGACTTCTCTTTCTTCAACTAATCACCTTCCTGTGTATTCTCGCTTCTCTCTTCTCTTCTTTCTCATTCAAAGGTGAGATTTTTAATTGACTTTTTTTTTTTTTTTCCAATTTCGAATTTTTCATCTTCTAGTGGTTCATGTTGTTGATTTGATGATATCCGAATTTAGTACAGGCTGCTACGCTCATGGCGGATCCTAACATTGTAATGAACGGTGACTTCTCTGTTGGGATTGAATCTTGGTATCCCAACGGATGCGAAGCATTTGTAGTTTCCTCTGACCCATTTAGCTCAGAGGTAATGTCTGCTGAATCCTCGAGCTGTGGCTATGCCGTTGTAACTAATCGGAAAGAAACTTGGCAAGGCCTTGAACAAGACATTACAACTCGAGTTTCTCCTGGAATTAACTATACTGTATCAGCTTGTGTTGGTGTGTCTGGTCCTTTCCATGAATCACCCGAGGTTCTTGCTACTGTGAGGCTTGAGCATGAAGACTCGCCTTCCGAGTATCTGTTCATCGGAAAGTATGCTTCTGATGGTTATATCTTTGGAATTTGATTGAATTTTTGTAGAGATTGCTGCTGAATTGAAACTTACCTGCAGAACATATGCCTCGAGAGACAAGTGGGTTGATCTGGAAGGAACGTTTTCGATATCAAATATACCTGACCGTGTTGTTCTGTATCTGGAAGGTCCAGCTCCTGGGGAAGATCTCCTTATACGCTCTGTAACTGTTAGATCCTCCACTTCTACTGACTTCCAGGTAAACCTCATGTCATTCTTGACCAGACTTTGTCATATGTTACTTAACAATTTGGGGATCATAGCTTTTAAGCGAACAATATGGGTAGAGCAAGGTGATTATTAGAGAAGATTAACCCTTAGATGAGTTACAGATAGGCTATTGGAGACTGAGATTGATGTAACTATCATGTCCGTTCGAGTTTAAACATTATTGTTAATTCTGGTTGAAATAGAGAGAAGTAAAGTCAAATGAATGAAGTTCAACTTGTTTCATTGCACGTTAATTGAAGAATTATATAGCTCACCAAGATCATCTGATTCTATACAGTATAATCCAGATTACAGGAAACAAGCGAGCTAAATTACTCGTGTTCTAACATCTTTTTGTGGCTTACTATTTCACTGCAGGAAACTAAAGAAAACAAAGAAGCTTCCAGTGTCTTTCCTCCTGCTTTTAATATCATTAAGAACCATGACTTCTCTGATGGGTTGTTTTCTTGGAATGCCAACAGTTGTGATTCATTTGTTGTTAGTAGCAACGACTGTAACTTAGAATCATATGCGGTTGTTAATAACCGAAGTGACACCTGGCAAGGACTGGAGCAAGATATCACAGACAGAGTTTCTCCTGGCTATTCATATAAAGTCTCTGCTAGTGTTAGTGTATCGGGACCTGTTTTCGGGTCGACGCAGGTCATGGCCACTTTGAAGTTAGAGCACGAAAGTTCAGCAACGGAATTTCAACTAATTGGAAAGTAATGGAACCACAAGACTTCTTTGCGATATATATATATATATATATAGTCAAGAACACCCAGAAATGTTGACAATTGATGATGTTTTTATCTGCAGAACTTGTGCTTCAAAAGATATTTGGAAAACTCTGGAAGGCACTTTTGTAGTGTCAAAAAGACCTGACCGTGTTGTATTTTTCTTGGAAGGGCCACCTCCGGGAATTGACCTTCTTATAAAGTCCGTCACCATCCATTGCGAAAGTGATAATCAGTTTGAGGTAACTGTGACATATTGTGGACTGTTAGATAGAGAGAGTGAAAGTACATTGACATGATCAATCTATGATCTAAATCTTTTTTTTTTCTTTTCCTTCTTAAGATCTTAAGATGCTGTTCTCAGCAATTTGATATGTTTCGTCACTTGCCTTATATGCAGAGAAGCCGAGAATTCTGCTCAGCTCCTGAATCTGATCATCACATCTTCCTGAATTCAAGCTTTTCAGATGGCCTCAATCATTGGTCTGGAAGAGGATGCAATCTTATGTTACATGAGTCTCTAGCTGATGGGAAGATACTACCACATTCTGGAACCTGTTTTGCTTCTGCAACAGAGCGCACACATAAGTGGAGTGGAATCGAGCAGGATATAACAGAAAGAGTCCAACGAAAACTCATTTATGAAGCATCTTCTGTTGTTCGACTATCACATAGCCATCACACCGTGCAGGCCACTTTGTATGTTCAATACCTTGACCAACGTGAAGAGTATATAGGCATTTCCAGGTGAGGCTCTCCAATTGACGATTTTTTTTTCTTACCAAGTGTTACTGTGTGAATCTTGCCCCAAATATATTGTCTGATACAAAAAAAAATTGAAGAAAGTTTGTTCCCTTTTTCAAGTGTTCAGGCAACACACGACGATTGGGTACAGTTAAAAGGAAAGTTCCTCTTGAATGGATCTCCAGCTAGAGCAGTTGTTTACATTGAAGGACCACCACCAGGGATTGATGTTTTTGTCGACCATTTTGCTGTAAAGCCTGCAGAGAAAGACACTCCTTCAAGACGACCATATATTGAGGTTAGACAATTAAAACTTTTGTGCTTTTTAACATTTACCTCTCCTTGTGTTTAGTGAATTATATATTGTTTCCATATTTCTACAGAGTCATGCTTTTGGGATGAACATTGTTTCGAATAGCCACCTAAGCGATGGAACAATCGAAGGTTGGTTCCCTCTTGGAAACTGCCATTTAAAAGTTGGAGACGGCTCTCCTAGGATATTACCTCCGCTGGCTAGAGACTCACTTAGAACAACACATGGATATCTATCTGGTAGATACGTGCTTGCGACAAACCGAAGTGGAACATGGATGGGTCCTGCTCAGATGATAACTGATAAGGTGAAGCTTTTTCTAACATACCAGGTCTCAGCTTGGGTTAAAATTGGCTCAGGAGGACGTACCAGTCCACAGGACGTAAATATCGCACTCAGTGTTGATGGTAATTGGGTTAATGGAGGAAAAGTTGAGGTAGATGATGGTGACTGGCATGAAGTTGTGGGTTCATTTAGAATCGAGAAGGAAGCGAAAGAAGTTATGCTTCATGTCCAGGGCCCGTCTCCTGGTGTTGATCTTATGGTTGCAGGTCTCCAGATTTTCGCTGTTGATCGTAAGTCACGATTGAGTTATCTCAGAGGACAAGCTGATGTGGTAACATACGAAGCATATTACTGGTTACATGTTTGGAACGAAAAATTAAACTTCACACCAATGCTCTTTCTCTGTTATGCAGGTTCGTAAACGCAATGTTAGCCTCAAATTCTCAGGTTTAGATCCTAGCGAATTGTCTGGTGCAACGGTGAAGATCAGACAGACACATAACAGTTTCCCACTCGGGTCATGCATTAGTCGGAGCAATATAGATAATGAAGACTTTGTCGATTTCTTTCTTAACAATTTCGACTGGGCAGTGTTTGGTAATGAGCTGAAATGGTACTGGACAGAGCCAGAGCAAGGAAACTTCAATTACCGGGATGCAGACGAGATGCTCGAATTCTGTGATAGATACAACATAAAAACCCGAGGCCATTGCATATTCTGGGAGGTAGAGTCCGCTATTCAACCGTGGGTCCAACAGCTGAGCGGTTCCGAGCTGGAAGCAGCGGTTGAGAACCGCGTAACAGATCTTCTTACCCGTTACAACGGGAAATTTAGACACTACGATGTGAATAATGAAATGCTCCACGGATCGTTTTATCGAGATCGACTAGGCTCTGATTCAAGAGCAAACATGTTCAAGACTGCGCAGGAGTTAGACCCGTTAGCAACTCTGTTTCTAAATGAATACCACATAGAAGACGGATTTGACTCGAGGTCATCCCCCGAGAAGTACATAAAACTCGTACACAAGCTGCAAAAAAAGGGTGCACCCGTGGGAGGGATCGGGATTCAAGGACATATAACCAGTCCCGTCGGTCACATCGTCCGTTCCGCTTTAGACAAGCTAAGCACACTCGGATTACCAATCTGGTTCACAGAACTTGATGTGTCCTCGACTAACGAACATATAAGAGGAGATGATCTCGAGGTGATGCTATGGGAAGCGTTTGCTCATCCGGCAGTTGAAGGAGTGATGCTTTGGGGATTCTGGGAGCTGTTTATGAGCAGAGAACACTCACATTTGGTGAATGCGGATGGTGAGGTTAATGAAGCTGGGAAGAGGTTTCTTGAGATCAAACGCGAGTGGTTGAGTTTTGTGGACGGAGTGATGGAGGATGAAGGAGGATTGGAGTTTAGAGGTTATCATGGGAGTTACACAGTGGAAGTTGTCACATCGGAGAGCAAGTATGTGACGAACTTTGTTGTTGACAAAGGCAATTCTCCAATTGATGTCATTATAGATCTTTAACGTTTCATTATACTAATATGCAAAGAACAACATTGGTAAGATACAAGCCCTTATCTTTGTTTGTGAAGATGGTTTTACTGAAATAATCTGTCTTCTTTACTTTAGCTACTTGCAGCACAAGAGAACACATTAATAACTTCCAAACCCTAAGACCAGTCCCTTCTCAGACAACACATTTAACTCTTATTTGTGTAGATTTGGAGAAATTCGGTGACATATATGGTTCGGTTTTGATCATACTTTTCAACCCTATAGTCTATCAAACCAATTAGATCGATGCTATAATGGTTTGAAAAATATATTGAATTCATTTGGATTATTCTAGTTGAAAGGTACAATTAAAAAGATAGAGACTTCAATTCACACATTAGTAGAAGTTTTTTACTGAAATATACTCCCTCCGTTCTTTTATAAATTATGTTTTAGGAGAATGCACATACATTAAAAAATCATTAATTTTTTTTTTGTTTATTTCTAAACTAAAACATCATTTATTATCTAATCAACCAATAAAAAAACAACCTATAGAATATAAATCGTCAAAACCAATAAAAAACAATTAATTTTGCATTAAAAACTGAAAACATCATCTATTTAACGACAAAATTAGAAACTTAAAACATCACTTATAAAAGAACGGAGAGAGTAATTTACATGTTGTAGTTTGTAAATTTATAAGTTTAAACTTTTATATCCTTATAATCAATTTATCCTATTTTCTTCGAAAGGTTTAAAGGTTCTTAACTTTTATTATAAGGTCGACACGTAATTTAACAGAAAAGTATATATATATATTATATTTGAATTCATAAAAATATATACTCATTTCTAAAGAAAAAAAAATCATGGTAAATGATCCTCTCATGTAAATGCATACCAGCTTTTTAGGAGAAATCTGAAAGTTATCACAGGCAGTGGATAGAAGAAGATGATCCGTTAGTTAAGTCAATCATACTAATAAGAGCAATCACGAATGATCCACACCACCTACAATCTCATACGTACTTGTCCAACTTCACTGCATCTACCATATCCTTAATTTAGTTGGCAGATATTATGTAGATATATATATATTCAACTTGGTGTTTTCCACAACCACCCATACATACATACATGGAAATAGGTTGGGTTTTAAAGCATTTAGTAGTATCCTAAATTGAAACGAGACGGGGTCATTTAATGATGATGAACTTGAAGAAATAAAGTTGGTATGCATTTAGTTTTTTCGTTGATATTTTATGTGAATAGTGACCATACGTAACTGTACCATACTTTTAAGTTTCCACTATCAGGGCAAAACATTGAAATTGAATGCCATCTAAAACAAAGCAAAGAGTCCACAACAATTTTTATTTTTATTTTGTTTCTGTTTTTCTTTCGCTTTATGCTTAGTGAGTTTTTCATATAGGTTAACAATCTTTACTATAAAAACTCGCTCAAATGGATTTGAACTAAAAATAAAATGAATCAAACAATTAGAAACACATCAATATATACTTAATCTAAATACCGAAAAAAGTAAATGCCTCTATCTTCCCTTCCCCTCTCTATATATTTCAACCTCTATCTATCTCTCTCTCTCTCTCCCTCTTTGTAATTTCTCAAATATTTTCTTCAGAGTTAGCACGACCTCATTAAATCATCTTCTCTACCTCTCAAAAAGAGAACTATATTTTAGAGTTTCACTTTGGTGCACACACAAAGCTCGTACAACATTCTTCATATATGGCTCTACGCTGCTTATCTCAATCTTCAACAACTTCATCTTATCTCTCTAAGGCTCGTACTTTCTTCCAGTAGACCATTATACTGTTCCTTTTTTTTTTCTATACACCAAGAAAAAACAACTACAACTTAAATAATTTGTATTAATAAAAATAAAAGACATTTAATTTGCTTTTGTTTGTAAATAATACAGATCTGGGGATTCCGTATGCATGGGACCAAAGCAGCAGCTTCTGTTGTAGAAGAACATGTCTCTGGGGCAGAACGGTAACATTACCCTCCAATTAGATACAACATGTGTCCCTTCTTATTCATTGTCAACACTCAAATTTACAAGAAAAATGTAAGAAAACAAAATGAGGGAAAAGAGGAAGTAAAAAAAAAAAAAAAAGAAGAAGCTAAAATTGTACTATATTGTTAGATAAATATTGTGTGACGGAAGCTCTTATTGTGGTGGTTGCACAATGCACCTCAAGCCTGTGCTCCTTCATGGTTAACTTAAACCCTTCAACCTTCAATGGGGTAAACAAATCTTGTAAAAAAAGTGTATTATGTTATTAGTTTTTTTTTTTTTTTTTTGATAAAGTTCAGTAAAAATATTACTTGCATTTCTTTCTTTTTTCCATCTAAGGTTATTTTATTAGAGTATGTGTTTGCAATTTATTATTGTATTGTATATATGTATGTATAAATATTTATGTATATGTTAAAAAATATAAGAAATTATATTATTTTGAAATTCAAATGCAAATTGTTTTTCCTTGGGGTGCAGAGAGGATGAAGAGTATGCTGATGTGGATTGGGACAAGCTTGGATTCAGTCTTGTACGGACAGATTACATGTTCGCCACCAGAAGTTGCAGAGACGGTAACTTCGAACAGGGTTACCTTAGCCGTTACGGCAACATCGAGCTCAACCCTGCTGCTGGGATTCTCAACTATGGCCAGGCAAAGCTTCAAATCTCATCCACAGTCACACAAATTCATTATATCAATGGTATAAAATTACTTTTCTGGTGGATTTTGCAGGGACTAATAGAGGGGATGAAAGCGTACAGAGGAGAAGATGGTAGGATTCTTCTCTTCCGCCCAGAGCTAAACGCGATGCGTATGAAGATAGGAGCTGAGAGAATGTGTATGCATTCTCCTTCTGTTCATCAGTTTATTGAAGGTGTTAAGCAGACCGTTCTTGCAAACAGGCGTTGGGTACAACATTGTCGATGTCTTTTGCTCCTAGAAAATGATCTTTGGTTCACTTTCCTTAAATGGTCAGGCTTTTTTTTCATTAGGTTCCTCCTCCGGGCAAAGGATCGTTGTATCTCAGACCGTTGTTGTTTGGAACCGGAGCAAGCTTGGGTGTGGCTGCAGCACCAGAGTACACGTTTCTTGTGTTTGGCTCTCCTGTTCAAAACTACTTCAAGGTCATAATAGCCTTAAAAATAGATTATTTCTTTCTTTGTAACAAAGAGTTTTGGTATTGAATTTGATTGCTTGTATAGGAAGGCACAGCGGCGTTGAACCTGTACGTGGAGAAGGTGATTCCACGCGCCTATCTTGGAGGAACTGGTGGTGTAAAGGCAATTTCCAATTACGGTCCAGTAAGTTCAAACACTCATCCTACATGGTTTCAAGTACTAAGCAAGGTGTTTCGTTCCAAAGTAAGTGTTGTTTTGGTGATAAACTGTGAAAGGTGCTTGAAGTGATGAGAAGAGCAAAATCAAGAGGTTTTTCGGATGTTTTGTATCTTGATGCAGAGACTGGGAAGAACATAGAAGAAGTCTCTGCTGCTAATATATTCCTTGTGAAGGTTAAACAAACTCTATTTAGGACAAAAGTGGAATGTTGTTTTCTTCTTCTAATGATGGTGTTGTATACTAATTGAAGTTTATTGAGTCTTTCAGGGGAATATAATAGTGACTCCAGTTACGAGCGGGACGATTCTCGGGGGTATCACACGTAAGAGCGTCATCGAAATCGCCCTTGATCTTGGTTACAAGGTTAGTAGTTATTCCACATCTGTTTTCTTCTAGCATTGTTTCCAATCTTGAGTCAAAAAACAGAGCAATACTCTGTTTCCTTTCTCAAGACAAAAGAGAGCGATGGTTTCAGTTTGCATTATATACCTTTTACATATCTAAACTTCAAATTTGATTTCAAAAGATACTTTCTACATCAAATCTATGTAGTTGGGTAGGAGTGGAGTGACTTCCACCTAAAATTACAGGAATCAAATATGCATATATAAATACTTGATGCATGGAAGTTTTAAGAAGTGTGTAATGGACAGGTGGAAGAGCGAAGGGTTCCGGTAGAAGAACTGAAGGAAGCAGAAGAAGTTTTCTGCACTGGAACTGCTGCTGGAGTTGCTTCTGTTGGAAGCATCACTTATCAGAACACAAGGTCTCTTCTTCCTCTCTGGATACATGTATCAGAACACAACATATATCTATATGCTTGGACTTATGCATTTATATGTTGATAAATAATCTGCAGGACTGAGTACAAAGTTGGAGATGGGATTGTTACTCAGCAACTTCGATCTATTCTTCTCGGAATACAAACTGGGTCTATCCAAGACACAAAGAATTGGGTTTTGCAGATTGCCTAAGCTGTTTTCATATAGATAAAATGTTGCACTCTTTTGATCACCTGTCGAAAGCTTTTGAAATAGTTTTGGTAACCTTGTAAGTTAAACTTGTGACATAAATTTGTGATGATATCAACATATCATATTAGTATTTAACATTTGTTTCACTCTTCCATAGAGACAAAAGCAAAACTAAAGACCTTCAAGTTCAGGATTTGCAATCTAATGGTTTGTCTTTGTGACAATTTGCCACAGCACGGCCCAAAAGCCAATAACTAAAATACTAAATAAGCCCAAAAGAACCAAAGGGCCCAAAATTATGTAATCGGATTGAAGGTTAGAAGCCCTAACGATGCTTTCTAGTCGGGGAAAAAAAAGGAAACAACTACACTTAACGTAAGAAGGAAGCAATCGAAATTTCCTTTTTTTTTTTTTTTTTAATTTGGAGAACCTTTGCTTATAAATACATACTTGAACTCTATTCTCCAACATCACTCATTCTCTCTTCTTCCTTAAGAAATCAAAATTCTTTCATTCTATCTTCTTCTTCTTCGAAACCTAAACAAAAGAATTCGTCATCTTTCATTCTCTCGTCTGCATAATAATGCAGCTGTCTTCTCGAGTTAAGCTCTCTGAATCCCTTACAGAGAGGCTCTACGGACTACGATGATGATCTCTGCAATAAACAACTAATTGATTTCCATCATCTTCAGTCAAATCTAGATCGGTTTCAGGTACGGTCTACCATAATTTCACACGGACCACCGATGGATTCTGTCAACGACGGCGAAGGATGCGAGACAGGAAAGAGGTTAACAAAGAGAGGGGAAGTGAAAAGAGACGAGCCAATAGCAGCTTTGGTGTTTCCATGGCAGGGACAGGCGTCGCCCGAGGATGATAGACTAATCTCCGTTTCAACGATATCACAGAGCAACAGGTACATATCTTAATTTCCTTTTTATAGAAGATTTTGATTTGTTTTTTAATTATTGCTTTTTTCTAAATAAAACGGTTTTCACTTTTTCTTTTTCAGATTTAAAACTAATTTTAAAGGTTTTTCAAATAATGTTTTCACTAATTTCTTTTAATTAACAAATTGTTTTCAAAACTTAAGTATTAAATTTAAAATACGTCGAAAACTAACCGGACTTAGCATCCCGTCCTTTGGTCCGTAAGTCTTGTGGTGTCATAAGTTCAACATGTTTTTCGACGTATTATAAATTTAACACTTATTTAAAATTTTAAGATTTTGTTTTTACAAATAATGTTTTAAGTAAATATTTTTATTTTTAACTAATTTTTTTGATTACCAAATTGTTTTCAAAGCTCAAATGTTATATTTACAATACGTCGAAAACTAATCGGACTTAGCATCCGGTCCTTTGGTCCGTAAGTCTTGTAGTGTCATAAGTTCAACATGTTTTCTACGTATTGTAAATTTAACACTAATTTAAATTTTTAAGATTTTTCTTAACATATAATGTTTTAAGTAAAATGTTTTTATTTTTAACTAAATTTTTTTAATTACCAAATTGTTTTCAAAACTTAAGTGTTATATTTACAATACGTCGAAAACTAACCGGACTTAGCATCCCATCCTTTTGGTCCGTAAGTCTTGTGGTGTCACAAGTTCAACATGTTTTCATGTATTGTAAATTTAAAACTTATTTAAGTTTTTTACAAATAATGTTTCAAGTAAAATTTTCTTATTTTTAACTAAACTTTTTTTAATTACCAAATTGTTTTCAAAACTTAAGTGTTATATTTACAATACATCGAAAACTAATCGGACTTAGCATCCTGTCATTTTGGTCAGTAAGTCTTGTGGTGTTACAAGTTCAACATGTTTTCACGTATTGTAAATTTAACTCTTATTTAAGTTTTAAAGTTTTTTACAAATAATGTTTTTAAGTAAAATTTTCTTATTTTTAACTAAAATTAATGTTAAAAATTTTAAGTATATAATAAGATATATAGGTTACAAATTACAAGGTTTTACCAAATTTTATGGTGATTTTTTCATTATTCTTTTTTAACTGTACTTAAAAACTTTGGATCATACCACTTAACGTAATAGTTGAATTTGTAGTAGCTTTTGTGGTGCTTCAAAGGGATTACTCTGGTCACCTGAGTATGGTGCTATGTTATTAACTTTCTTTATTCAAAGATTCTATTGCTATTAGTTAACACAATACAAGTCCCAGTTAACTAAAAAATCAGAGTTCTCGTAGTAATCAAAGAATCAGCCTTCTCAGATTCTATTTGGCCAAACTCTACGGCGGTATATTCGCTTTAAGAAAAAGAAAAACAATTTTGTCGAAACTTTCTTTTGTAGATGTCGAAGATTCCACACACAAGACTATCTAAGATTCTTTGATAAGACACGACAAAATACGATTTAAGAATTTTCAAAGAAATGAGGTTCGTTGATTTATAATTTGAATTTAAAAGATTTATTTGGTATCTTTAAATAGAAAAAGATATTTATAAGAAAACGAAGGAGTGAGTACTAATAGTCGATGACACTAGTGATACGACGATATTGGAAAGGGACATCATTATTCATTAGTAAGTATCGTAGCAAAAACGTTGTTATCGGATAAAAAAGCTCTCAGACTGACGTGGCTATCAATCTCCACAACGTGGTTATGAGTTTATCTCCCATTTGGGTAGTTATGGACGAAGACGTTGAAAAGACAACGATATTGTCTAAAAGATTGACATGGAAAGAAAAATTGTTTATCCGACAAAGACCTCTTGGTCCAACGTGGCTTTCACATCTCTTGTTTACTATTTCACATCTCTTGTTTACTATTTCACATCTCATGGAAAATTACCAAAATAAGTATTTTTTTTTTCCGTCAAGTATTTATTTGTATACTTTAGGTAATTGCTTGCCGAAGAAACATTGCTAAATTGATATTTATACCAACTTACAATATTTTACAGTTTCAAAAATAGAAATTTCCGTTTGAAGATACAGCACAAATTTTCTTCACCCCACAAGAACGAAAAAAAGAAAATTAGTCCGTTGATTTCGTTAAAATTCTTGTTCCATAGAGACACGTCTAGATCTGTCTGATCAGGGCAGATAGACACAAGTGACGAAGCAAAATAACACAAAAACAAGATAAGAACTCTTACCACTAAAAGATAAAAAGAAGATAAGAACTCTGCCATGATAAAAGCAGACACACACTTCACATAAGCCAATCACTTACGTGTTGCATACTTAATTTGACAGTTGACACTCTTCTTTGTGTTTTCTTCCACCTTCTTTTTCGCTATATCATTCAACAAAATTGTTTCTTTATTTCTTTCTTTTGTTGTTTTTTTTTTTTTTTATTATTGTTATTGAAATCAAGAGAATCAAAACCGAGGCTCTGCAATTTGTGAAGAAGATGATCAAAGCAATCTCATCTCTACGCAAAACTCTGGTTCTACCTCTTCATTTACATATTCGTACGGTATAAACTGGATTCTTACAATCTAAGGATCAATACTTAATTAGAGACATAACTCGGATCTCAGATACAAACATGTTTTATGTTCTTCCTACGAAAAAAAAAACATGTTTTATGTTCTGTTTTTTTTTTTTTGATGAAATAGCTACAAACTTTCGCCAAGTACAACGCACAAGCTGCCTCGGCCTTGCGAGAAGAGCGTAAGACACCTCTTTATCAGTAAGTTTTTGATCATGATCCAACTCATTGATATTTTGCATTTTATCATTGAAAAGCTCTGTTTCAAACTTCTTGTTTTGTATTACATAGAAATGGAGATGATGAATATGTGGATTTGGATTGGGATAATCTCGGGTTTGGTCTAACTCCAGCTGATTACATGTATGTCATGAAATGCTCAAAAGTCGGCGAATTCACTCAAGGAGAACTTAGTCCCTATGGGAATATTCAGCTAAGTCCTTCTGCTGGAGTCTTAAACTATGGACAGGCAAGGATCTGGTAACCCCCAAATGTTTCTTGATTTTTCTCTGAGTTGGCTGATCAATGGAGGTTTTGGGATTCTTTGCAGGCGATATACGAAGGTACAAAAGCATACAGGAAAGAAAATGGGAAGCTTCTTTTGTTTCGCCCTGATCACAACGCTCTGCGGATGAAGCTTGGCGCTGAACGGATGCTCATGCCTTCTCCTTCGGTTGATCAGTTTGTTAATGCAATTAAACAAACCGCTCTTGCAAACAAGCGTTGGGTAAAACGCTTTCTTGTGATGCATATTTCTTCTGAAGAGGTTTGTTTTGGAATCTGATGACTGATGATGTGTTTGGTCAGGTTCCTCCTTCAGGAAAAGGGACTTTGTACATTAGGCCTTTGTTGATGGGAAGTGGTCCAATTCTTGGTTTAGGTCCTGCACCTGAATATACATTCATTGTCTATGCATCTCCAGTTGGTAACTACTTCAAGGTATATATATTTCTCTTCCATGTCCAAGCTTTTTGGCAATGGAACGGTTAGCAAATGTTTTGTTCACTGGTTTGTAGGAAGGGATGGCTGCTCTTAACCTCTATGTTGAGGAAGAATATGTCCGAGCAGCTCCTGGTGGAGCTGGAGGTGTCAAGAGCATCACAAATTATGCACCCGTAAGTGTTGAAGCCAACTTAGTTTTTTAAAGACCAGAGGCAAAAGAGTTTTGAGAAACCATGTGTGTGTAGGTTTTGAAAGCACTGAGCAGAGCCAAGAGTCAGGGGTTTTCAGACGTTCTTTATCTCGACTCTGTCAAGAAGAAGTATTTAGAGGAGGCTTCTTCTTGCAACGTCTTTGTTGTCAAGGTAGATATATTGTGGTGTCTCCAGTAAATTCTATTTGTTGCATCCTAATTATAGCATTGATTCAGGGTCGGACAATCTCAACTCCTGCAACTAATGGAACAATTCTTGAAGGAATTACGCGGAAAAGTGTGATGGAGATCGCAAGTGATCAAGGGTATCAGGTAACACAAATAAAATTGATTCACTCTAAATACTAAACTCAGCTAAGATTCACACCTGAGTTTGATCAGGTAGTAGAGAAGGCAGTTCATGTGGATGAAGTAATGGATGCAGATGAAGTTTTTTGCACCGGAACTGCCGTAGTAGTTGCTCCTGTGGGCACTATAACATATCAGGACAAAAGGTAAAAACTCAATGCCTGAATCAAGTTTTTACTCAAGCCTTGAGCAAAGATTTGGACTGATGTAATCTTTCTGAAACATTCAGAGTAGAGTATAAAACCCGGGATGAATCTGTCTGCCAGAAACTGCGTTCAGTCCTTGTCGGTATCCAGACAGGATTGATTGAAGATAACAAGGGATGGGTCACAAATATCAACTGAAAAAACAATCTTCAATATTTTGCCACATTGGAGATTAGTCTGCATTTTAAGCTGTGTATACACAACAATGGAGAACACTGTAAACATATATATGAGATAGAAACAGAAGCTATTTTGCTCATTTCTATTTCGTAAAAATCAAATGTCTTTCACAAAACTATGATTAAAAAAGATCGTCTATTGTACTTGTAGAAAAGTGTTCCAAGCAAAGTTTCATTTTCCTCCTGCAGTAACTTCAAATTTACATTTCATTTTAGGAGGCAAAACTGTATATACGTTTCAATGGTTTTCCCCACTTCTTACTTTCATCACCCATAAGGGCTTCAACTACTAAAATTGTAACTCAACTGCAAACACTTAATCATCTGCAGAGTCAAATATACATTGTAACTCAAGTATCTATGTTCGTTTGTAGATCTCAGCAAACGCTGGGGAATAACGATTTGGTGAAGCACTGGGACAGGATTTCACCTCAAGATCATGACCAGATTTACTTCTCTGGAACGCCCATATGTAATCAGCTTTATGATTCTCTTTCTCAGGTTTCAACTGTTCAGAATCTGGTAACTCCTGATCTGAGCAAGGAGAAGTGCAACCAGCTTTGCTCGATTCCTCAGAACACGTTGGTATCTGAGAGTATGCAGCTTTCAAGTTGTTATGTATCTCTTCCATCTTTCCTGTCATCTCATCTGCTCTGTCCATAGCGATAAGAATCTGAAAGAAACTCACACGTCAATATCTCCTGGGAGATGCAAATCAAGGTTATGAAAAGATGTGTAATATAATATACCTCGGCTGGATATTTCTTGAATATGGGTGCAAATCTTTGCCGGCAATACTCACTAAATAGAAGAGTGAGGAAAATTAACGGGATGGTGAAACCTGAAGCAACCGTTGATAGCTTTAAACCGAAAAAGCCTAGCGCTATAATTTGCGACAAGATCAGTGAAAAGATTGTCGTGTTGTGAAAAACAGGCCAATATTGTCCACCGCTTTCATATTTTGTAATATAGACGTTGATTATCTGCAAAAAAAAAAAAAAAAAAAAAAACTTAGTCAAATCCAAGTGATTGTACTTTAAAGTTTAAACCCATAGACTTGTCTACCCATGGCATTACTATTAGCACATATGCATTAATCATATTTCCAGAAGCAAGCACTCGAAGAAAATGACAACTCAAAGGCGAAGAATGCAGGAACAGTCAGACAGCAGCTTACGCAGTTCTCAAAGTTATAAGGTAAAGCTCCAGATAGACCATGAGAACAGATGGTAACATACTGCAAGGTCTAGACGATATTTCAGTACAGAGTTCTTGGAATTTTGTTACAAAACTTTCAAGAAAATAAAATGCAACTCCGTTATGCTTCTGAATCAGGTTTCATATCAAATTGTGAAAAGTCCAAAATCACTAAGAGTTAGTGCATAACAGCTATTTAGCAGTCAATGACCATGGATATAGGTGCCTATGTAACAATTTCTTGAAGTGTTTATTGGCAACTACAAAATAAGGTCTATGTAAAAGAGATCAGAGCAGATATGCATCGTTTGCGTACCTGATTTTTGTATATAAGATATGCGAAGAAAAAGTAGATCAGCAGAAACGGCAGTATTAGGGGCGCTATGACTGAATTTGTGAAACCTAGGAGCCCGAACAAAAGTAGTCGAGGAATTTCTGTATGGTACGGAAACCTAAGTGTTTCATATGAGTCCTCCTTGTTCTTGACAATAACTTTTGCTATCAGATTCCAGATAAGACCTACAGGTTGCATGATTTCACATGCCAAACCGGCCCAACCAGATGTGAAACAATAGGTCATGAAGAAGCCAACCTGCATGTAGTCAATGAATATTTTCATACCGTTAACATTATAGAAAACAACAAAAATGAATATAGTCACAAGTGTAAAAGGAACCCTGAAAATTACCTGTGCTGGAACTACTTTCGCAAGTTGTGCAGGTATGTCCCTCACACTAGACAAGACGCTCAACTGCCTGATAACAGAGCCTGATAGAATATTGACGAAGAACACATTCCAGATGGTAAAGTATAAAATTTTGATACATGCACTTTTCTTTCTTAGACTCCGAGAAACACATCCCTCCAAGGTTGAAAAGTACATCATCAATGGCGGAACGGCATAAAAGAATAGAACCAAAATCACACTTGGTAAGTACCCTGTGATGACCTGCTTCATAAACCCCCTGCAATGTTTTTCAAAGGGATAATTAAATTGAAAGGTAATAAAAACAAATCAATTACACAGACTTTAATTGCTCTCAGTTTTTTCTGCGCTTTTAAATCTAGAAAAATCTAGCATAAATATATCAACTGCTTAGCAGCTCCGACTATACGCATCTTGATATTCTCTAAAAGCAACGTAGCTACACCTACTCTTTGGTGCCAACTCTATGTCATTTTAAGAAGAATACGAACAAGAACCCTCTATTACTGAGTACACGGGTAAGGAAATGCTGGATACTCACTTGTGCAAGAGGTCTCTTAGAAAAGGAAAATTCTTGGATAGCGTTTGTAGCTGAGTCAGCCCTTGAACAAAGGCAACAGGGAAAAGAAACACAAACATGAAGGCAACTGCACCAACAAGGGTTGCTATTCTTCGCATCCAAAGTTGCCGATAAGGTATTCTGAGATTCCTCCAGTGAACATCATGAGGCTCTGGCGCCAAGTCTGCCACCCATAACATAGGATTTGGTGTTTGAAGAACCTCTGAAACAACAAGAGCATCATAACGACTCTTGAAAAACACAAAAGCAACGGGACGTTCCTGCAAATGAGCAGAAAAGTGTAAGCCTTGTATACATATTTCAAGCACTGATACTTCAAAGTTGTCACGCAAATTGGGAAAACCAGAAAACATGTCGAGATTATCAAACTATATATCATAATTCATTAAGCAATGTTTACAAATGCAGTCATGAATGGAGATATATTTCTTTTAGATCTAGCTTCTAAAAGTTTTAACAAAAAACTCTTTGTATCACTTCTTCAAGGTCCATAACGTCTCAATGTAATTTTTTGGGTTCCCCTAAGTCTCAATGTTACCTCTAAAGCTCAATTTGTGTCTCAGTAAAGGAAAAAAGGAGTCAATTCTCCAGGTTCAGCTGTAAAACTGCGAAGACATGCAACAGGTAGAAACCACACGCTATGCCTATATCATGTAAGTTCACCTATCAAAGTGAAAAGAATGCCTTACTTCCTCTGTCGTAGTCAAAGTCAACTCACCAAGCTGTCCTTTGACACTGTCTGTCTCGTTCGAGAGGATTTGAAAAGAATTTGTGGCTGCAGGTCCACAAAGGGCACATGACTTCAAACTCGGATTACAACTTAAATCAGGAGAAACATGTTTTATAGCCTGACACATCCTATCCGTCTCATTCTGAAATAGAAAATTGACACAATTAATATTAGAATCTAATTAACTCAATTGTGCTCCAAAATAGACCACTGCACTTCAACTATATGTTATCATGAGCACACACCATCCACATGTTGTTTACCAAATTTCTTTCCATTCAAAATGCTGATCAGATAACCAGCAAGAAACTGATGTAATATCAAAAGAACCTCAATATCAGATAACATGAACTACAAATAAAGCGTTACAAATGAGCCAAAAACAAAATTAGTACTCCAAGAAATGTGCATCAAAATATAATTCCTAGAACTTCCTATATCTTTAACTAATACAGGACTATCAAGTATTAGTCACATCTTTACAACAAGTTACTGTTCTGTTATATCATCAATCTTTGATGCCCTTGACAAATGAAGAAGTATTTATGACAGAACACAGGGGAAGTGTTATGGTGAACATTTTGTAAAGAAAAAGAGACAAGTGTGAAAAATGTTAAAGCACATTCCGGAACATAGAGCATCCAGATTCCTATTCTGCTAAGGTCAACCACGCAGAGGTGTTAACTGAAAACTTTATTCCTAATCCGACAGAAAACATAACAAAAAGACAATAATCAAGTCAGCATGTTGCAAGAATAAATCGAAACACATACCATCAGTCTGTGAATGAAGCCATCACGGTAGACCATTAGGTGCGACACATAGCTTGGTGCATAGTAATTTGTGAAGTATTTGCTCACTGTCTCGCTGTAGGACTGGTCAGGAGACTGAGGAATAGCACGAATAAGAACAGTAAAATGACTTTGCTTTGAGGCAGATCCAGTAATATGGGCAAGCCTCCTTTTGGCTATGTTCTTATATTCCTACATTTACATTGGTGAAACATGTATTAACAGAGTGAGAGAGAGACCAAAACGATGAGGAAATGATGGAATAAAGAGAAACAGTAAGCGTGAAATGAACCAATGTATAAGATCCTCACAAAGTAAAGAAGAGCACATGCTGCAGAGGATATGATGTACAATGCGAGACAATGAACCCAGAGCCTTGAAATAAAAAGAGTAAAACAAGGATCAGCACTTCATTGTGCAAAATACTGGCAATCTATCTATTTAAGAAGACTAGTGTGAAATGGCACCATTTAATCTTCTGTACAGAGAAACAAAATTAAGTAGAAATACAGGCTACGCATATTATCTGACAATATTAATATGATATGCCGCCACTTTACCATCGTGAGCGTTGATTGAGGTTCTCAATTGTGAATATTACCAACGACTCCAGATGGACCTCCTTGTGCGCAGTCTTTTGTCCATAATAGTTAACAGGTAGCACAAAGGCAATGCAAACGACTGCCACGATTGAGAAAATACGAATGCTGCAGAGTTAAAAAAAAAAACACGACAAAACCAACTGTGAGAGTTGTGAAGAACGAAAGATAAGCAGATACCACATAGAAATAATACTAGCGCTGGAACATAGAAACAGCAGAAAATCACCATGCTTGCCTATTCAATTAGAGTAAAGGCGAGAAGCATGTTTAAGGTGAAGTATCATTAACCTGCAAATGACCATCCTGATGAAAACCACAGCATCCAGACCAGCAGAAGCCAACATCTCGTCCTCAGTAGTTTCCCAAGCTTTCACGAGCCAACTTGGAGAGGGAGCAAACCTCTCATACCAACGAGGATCATGACGTTTAACTCTTCCGTCGGAAAGCAATCGACCAAAGTAAACACAATAATTGGCTGGCTGCTTTCGTAGAATGGAATAAAGCGATACAAGCACTACGCATGTCCCTATATTAATCCCAGCAGACGTTAAAAGTGATGAGACATCCATCTCACAATCTC